GCGGGATGCAGGGAGGCGTGGGGTGAACGCACATGGGGTGCAGGGCAGCGCAGGGTGCAGGCATGTGGGGTGCAGAGTGGTGTGGGGTGCAGAGCAGCATGCAGTACAGGCAGCATGGGGTGCAGGCAGCCTGGGGTGCAGAGTGGTGTGGGGTGCAGGGACGTAGGGCGGGCAGCCGGGGGGGACTGAGTCGCTTGGCACAAAGTGCCCATTCAGGGCCACCCCGCAGAAGCAGCGCCCGGCCCCTGCGAGTGCCACCCACGTGGGGTGAGGATCTCTTCGAGTAAACCCTTTAATTCCAGGGGGCACGAGGGGTGGCCTTGGCGCACGAGGAAGTTTAACTCGCCTTAAAGCAGCAGGATTTAGCTGGAGGATCCGGTGCCAGCACAGCGTGGGAGCTTTCGCAAGCCCCGTGCGCACGGGGAGCTGACGCTGCTGAGCAGGGGGAGCGGGTTCACCCGGGGCCAGTGGCTGTGGGCAGGGGGATAACCAGACCTGGCTGAGAGATCCTCTCAGGGCTCCAGCCACAATCCCTTGGGATGGGTCCCCTTGGGGCTGCCACCTCTCCCGAGACCCCTTTTCCCAGGACAAAGCACCCGCTTGGTGATGACAGGAGTTGCGCGTGAGTTTGCATATGGATCTGCGATGAGCATGATGGCCAGGATGCCCAGGTGGCCAGGGGAGCACAAGTCCCCTCTGCCACCCCCATACAGGGCTGTTGGGTCTGTTTTGGAACCCCCATGCTGAGGATGTCCCCCGTCACCCATTGTCTTGCTCACTGGGCTGCAGACAAAGGTCCAACAAACTAGGAGGGAGCCGAACCTTGCATCAGGGCTGGAGTGGGAAGGGTATGGTGAGGTCGTGCATCTCCTGTGAAGAGCAGCGCGTGGTGCTCCAGCCACAGCAGCATTGCCTTGGGTCTTGGCACAGGTCGGAGTTTTCCCTCCCCGCTCGCCTCTACCCTTCATCTGGAGTCTCGTGCCTTCCTCCTCCTCCCTCCCTTGCAGCAGGGTCTCAGCTCCGTTTGTAGGGCAGCCCCATGGAAACCAAATCCGTAAATCCTGGTGGCATTACAAAACATGCCTTGTGTAAGCCCCTTCAGTCCTGCTCCGGTGCTTAGCCCAGCCCCGCCACCTCCCCAAAATCCCCATCACGGTAAGGGCCTGGCCGAGCTCCTCTCCTGGGCTTGGGGAAAGAGCCGTGCACAGCCCCATCCTTACCGTGTCCTCACCCAGCTCCCGCAACGCTGGGCCCAAAAAGAGTTAAGACTGCAAGGGCTCCCCTGCCCCACACGGCTTTGGGATGTGGATGCCCTGAAAAGCCTTGTCCCACTGCATCCACACGTGGGCTCAGCGCGATCCCTGCCGCATCCCAGGGCTCCCCTCCCTCACGGGTCTGTGGCATCACCCCAAGGGTGGACTTGGTTCCAGTTCCCAAAGCTCCAAGCAGGCAACCGTCACTTGAGGGCTTCATAAAAAGAAGCCATCTGCCCACGTTTTGGTTTTTTTTTTTTTTTTTAAGGCTGAAAGGGGCCCCATGTGGATGCTGGTTTGGGTGGCCTCATCAGGGAGGAGTTGGAGAGCCCGAGGCAGGACCAGGCCCAGGAGCATCCTCTGCCATGTACCCATCCCCGCAGCCGGACCCTGCCCACGCGGCCAAATTCACAGCAGGACCTTGCCAGGCTTTTCAGGGCAGAAGCTGGGGAAGAGACCTGTCCCACTCGCCCCGGGGGATCAGGCTGGGGTGGCAGGCTGCCCATCGCCTCCTCTGCCCCTGCCCCGCGCTAATGAGCGAGTTACACAATGAGAAGCTTTTATACTTCGTTAATCGGGTCCGGCATCCCAGCCCGCCCCTCCACGCACGCTACGGCCGGCCAGTGGAGCCCTGGCTCCCTCCTTCCCTCTTCTCAGCTGCCTTTTGTAATGTTTTAATGGGGTTTCTTGCCTGGGTTGTGCTGATTTAATTACAAAGCTGCAGTGAGTTGATGCCTTGTGACGGTCTAATCCCAACCCGGTGACTCTACAAAGCTTTTGCCCAGCTTTCTTCCTGCTCCACTCCGGTCTTGCCGTCCGTGTGTCCATCTCTGCCCCGTGCACTGACACTCTGAGGACAGTTCAGCTTTTCCTTTCCCTGGTGAGTACCTGGGACTTTTTCCACCCAAAATAACTTTGCATCAGAGACTGTAATCCAGGTCTCCCTTAACCTGGCACCTCCAAGGCTGGGATTACTTTCAGTTCCTGGAAAAAGGGGATGCCCATCCCTTCCCTGGGAGCTGGCGGGGAAAAGGATGTCCCTGGGAAGTGGTTGAACTGGAGCCAAGCATTCCTTGCACAGCCTGGGCTCGAGCCGGTGCGACAGCCTGGCAGGGGCAAGGTTGGGCACTGGAGGGAGGATGAAGGCAGACTTCCTCCTCCTCATGCATGGGAACAAGATGTTTCACCCAGACAGCATCAGAAAAATGCTGAGGCTTGTGGTCCAACCTTGCAGCTGGTGACATGCTCTGGGCCGGAGCAGCAGGGCTCGAGGGTTTGTATACACCTTGGGGATAATGGGGTAGTAGAAATAAAAGACAATAAAAGCATGAGCCGGCTGCCCACCCGGCCGAAGCTGGGGTCTTGCCTCTGCCCATATGAAGGCGGTCTGAGATGAAATGGCACTGGGTGAGCTCATGGGGTTTGAGGTCCCCATGAGAAGCCCCCAACCACCAGTGGAAAGGCAGACCTGGAAAAAAAGGATGAAGGTGTCAGATGATCAACACCCACATTTTTAAGCTGCTTTTGCAAACCCCTGGAGTTTCTGAAAGCCGCTCAGCCCCCCGGCAGGCAGAGACATGGGCAGTATGTAATGGAGCTGAGGAGGGCTGGGGTGTCTCTGCCTGAGCAAGACGGGCAGGGGATGGGGCACGGTGGGGCTGCGGAGGCTGTCGGGATCCCCACCACTGCTGATTCCTCCTTCCCTCTCCCAGTGTCCTGCGGCTGACAGAGGACAGAGGACGACATGTCTGCGGTTGTGAGTACTGCCCCCACACTGTCCCCAGGGCTCTGAGCATCCCCTCCTGCAGCACTGGGATGGGGTGTACCCCATGCATCCCTCACCCCCCTGCCTGCTCTCAGCCCATGGTGGGGAGCCTGGGTGCCACTCAGCCCATCCCCATCCCGTTGCACCCCCTCGGGTGCAGGCATGGAAGCTCTGCCGTTCCCCATAGCCCCCCATCCCAGGGGACCCACAGTGGGGCAGTGAGCGGGGGGACTGGCTGGGAAGACCCCACATCCTCTCCTTGCCCCCAGACGGGCACCTTCCGCATCGTCTCAGAGGAGGAGCAGGCCCTGCGCACCAAGCTGGAGCGCCTCACCACCAAGGACCATGGCCCCGTCTTTGGGAGGTGTGAGAAGATCCCCCCACACACCCTGCAGAAGGTGAGGGCGGCCGCGGGGAGTAGGGGGCAGGCACAGCCTGGGGCACTTGCTTCTACTCGATGGCCAGAGGAGACCCTCAAGGGGCTCTCGCCTTGGGGGGTGGGATGTGCTTACACCAAAGGATTGCAGATGGGGGGACCTGGGTGACCCTGCCCTCCCCATGCTAGGATGCTGCAAGGAGCATCACCGCATCCCTCCAGCTTTTGGGTGCCTAAATGACCCCTGGGCTGGTTTGGGGTGCATGGGGAGCATCACTGAGCTGGGCCCCCTCTTTGCTCCCCCCCAGGCAAAGGATGAGCTGAACGAGACGGAGGAGCAGAGGGAGGTGGCGGTGAAGGCACTGCGGGAGCTGGTGCAGGAGCGGGCAGGCGGCGAGGAGGTGTGCAAGGCGGTGGCTGAGAAGGTGCAGGGGAAGGACGACTCCTTCTTCCTCCGCTTCATCCGTGCCCGCAAGTTTGACGTCCACAGGGCCTATGACCTGCTGAAAGGTGGGAAGGGGTCCTGGGCTGTGACGCCAGGAAAGGACAGGGGTAACTGTCCCCCTGGCAGCTCCTGGCCCCATGCCGGAGCCTCCCAGCCCCTTGGTCTGGGCTGTGCCAGCAGAGCAGGACCCTGGCATGGGAAGGAGATGAGGAGAGAGGATAAATAGAAAAAGGCAAGGCTAGGGGTTCGGGATACAGGGGAAAGGGTTGGGATGGAGAAGGAAATAAATGAGGGTGGTGCCAGACATCCCACAAAGCGAGGACATTCCCAGTCCTTGCTAATTTACCGGACAAAATGGAAAAAACATCTGTTTTGTGGTGGCAGGCTGTTTCATTTGTGCAGCAAACCCATCTGGTTTGGGCTGCAACCCCTTGAGACCCCCATGCTCTATACGTGCCCTGTATGCACCCTGTACGTGCCCCTCCATAGCCCTGTAAGGAGCCAGTCCTGCACCCACCCTAATACTTCTGTGCACCATGCCCTGGGACCTCTCGAGGGCTGGGGGCAGGTTGGGGGGCTTGTGGCACCCCCTCTTCGCACTGGGAGTGACCCATAGGGATGGAAGGGGAGTAGGAGGGCAGCCCGGGGGGCGACCGCCTGTGAGGACCTGCCTGGCTCCGGCTCTGCTCTTCTTTGTGTCGGCTTGGGGGATAATGAGATGTAATTATCTGCACTGGCTCGCAGACGAGCTGTTTTGTTCGCTTGCATTTTCCCAGGATGAGATTCCTTATTTCATGCCCACAGGGTGCCAAGGGAGGGGAGCTGGGGAATGTCACCCAAATAGGAGGGAAGGGGAGAAGAAAAATGAGGGAAAAAATTACTTTATCTGCTCAATGAGGTGTTGCAGAGAAGGCAGGCGTGGGCACCCCCTGCCATGGGGACAATAACACTGAGTGCGATGGAAGAGACTAGACCTGCGTGTACCCTGGGCACAGTTGGTCCACAGCTCTCGGGATAGGGAATGGCGTCTCCCCATCGCCAGCCTGGCCACTGGCGGCTCCCCCAGTGCCGCCCCCGCCTCCCCACAGCCGTTGTCCTCCCTGATTTCTGCCTCTCTCCAGGCTACGTGAACTTCCGCCAGCAGTACCCTGAGCTCTTCGACAACCTGACCCCCGAGGCTGTGCGCAGCACCATTGAAGCCGGCTACCCCGGCATCCTGGCCAGCAGAGACAAGTATGGCCGGGTGGTGATGCTCTTCAACATCGAGAACTGGGATTACGAGGAGATCACCTTTGATGAGGTCAGCGCAGCCCAGCCGTCACTCCCAGAGCAGAGCAGTCCCGCCCCTGGGCTCGTCCCGCTCAGCACTGAGCGCAGCATCCCTTACACACACATGCATATGTCCACACACAGCCTCCAGCTGTCCAAGTTGAAGCAAATCTGTAGCCCTTTGAATTTATCCTTCCAGGGATCCTAGGAGAGCATGGTCCATCCCAAAGGGTTCCCCTTCCTTCCCCCTGATGTGGTGCAGGATCCTGGCCAAATTCAGGATCCCCCAGCCTCCCCCAGCCCAGGTTACACAGGGTGAAGAAAGGCACCATGCCATTAAATCAAGGTGCTTTAGGAAGGAGGGACCCACAGGGCAGACAAAGAAACCGAGGCACAGAGTATGGAAAGGGCTTTTTGGCAAAGAGCTCTCCAGGCATGTAACTCACAAATTCTCCCAGCTCTGTTTTCTGCTCAGCTCTGAATTTGGTGGCAAGAGATCACTGATCCAGGTCTGAGATGCACCTGCCTTGAAAGTAGATCATGGTGGTTGTTCAGCATCCCCCGAAACGCCCTCCCTGCTCTGAAGTCCTGGGGCTGGCTGTGACAAGCAGGCTAGAGTCAGGCAGACCCTGGCTAACTCTCTATGGGACTCTTCCTGGGAACCTTCTGGGGTCTATGGGAGGTGAGACCTAATACCAGACCTGCTGCCTCTCCTCTCCATCAGATCCTTCGTGCCTATTGTGTTATCTTGGAGAAGCTGCTGGAAAATGAAGAGACCCAGATCAATGGGTTCTGCATCATTGAGAACTTCAAGGGCTTCACCATGCAGCAGGCATCAGGGATCAAACCTTCTGAGCTCAAGAAGATGGTGGACATGCTGCAGGTGAGGTGGAAAAGTCTGCACCCAGCAGAGGCAAAGTGGATCCTGGGGAAGCAGAGAGGTCAGGGAAGGGTGAAGGCAGGGCTAGCAGGGTTTGCAATTTCCACCACACCAACACCAGAAGAAAGCATCGTGGAGAGGCTCTTCCCCATCACATGCTCCTTCCCTTGCCAGCTAATTGGCTTAATCCTGCAAGATGGATCCTATTTTTCCAGCCCCAGCTCCCTGCCCTCTCAAAAGCCTGAGTAGAAGCAGTACCACCACTCCTTGCAGCATCCTACAGCATGGTCTGGAGGCTTTTCCGGACCATCCTCTCAGCCCAGCCTGGTCCAAGCTGGACAGAGACTCACAGGCACTCAGGGATTTCTGCTCTTGGACCAGAGGCCAAAGATGCTTGGCACTCCCCAGGCAAGGAGGACACCAGAAATGCAGTCCTTCTCATGGAGTGGGAGCAATGAGCCATCTGGGAGGCTCTTTAGCTTCCCTGGTGCTCCAAGGGCTAGGACAGCTGATCCTCTGGGTCAGAACAAAAAAGGAGCCATCAAAGAGGGAAGGGGAGATTGGGCAAGGGGAGCTGTGGCACTGCCAGGGTATCCATAGCTGCCCGCCCAGCTCTGCGTGGGCAGCACCATCTGTAACCAGCTGTGTCTGGGTTTGGGATTCTAGGACTCCTTCCCCGCACGGTTCAAGGCCGTCCACTTCATCCACCAGCCTTGGTACTTCACCACCACCTACAACGTGGTCAAACCATTCCTGAAGAGCAAACTGCTGGAGAGGGTGAGTGCGGGAAAGGGACCCAGAGGCAGAGGCATATCTCTGGGTGAAACAGAGTGGTTGGGAAGAGTTGCTCCAGTCCTCTACTGAAGTTCACTCCCATCTCCCTGCAGGTCTTTGTGCATGGGGAGGAGCTGGAGTCCTTCTACCAGGAGATTGACGCTGACATCTTGCCAGCAGACTTTGGTGGCAACCTGCCCAAGTATGACGGCAAAGCAACTGCAGAGAAACTCTTTGGGCCCCGCATTGAGGCTGAAGACACGGCTCTCTAAACTGGGATCCGCTCCCCCTCCCCTGTAAAATAGGATCAGAGGTGGCCCTCTAACCCCAACCATCTCCTTACTGTAGCTTTGGTTGAATGACTGCTCATGATGAGGCACTCTGGTCACGTTGCTCCACGCCTGTCCCTCCCCTCCCCAAACCTGGCAGCAGGCTGCTCAGCAGCTCTGTCCCTCCCAGAGCCAGCAGAGAACAGAGGCCACCAGCCCTCTCCTGCAGCATGCCCTGGAGCTGCGGTGGGAGGACAAGGAGAGCATTTGCTCTGGGAAGGGTGGGCTACAGCGAGGGAGAAATAAAGTGTTTAACAGCAGAGCTCCAGGGTCCCTTGTGGCATGTGGCAAGGAAGAGGGGTGCAGCTTTTTGGGCACAGGCGCTGGCTGCGCTGCTGGTTCTAAGGAAGCCAGGAGTGTCAGCGCTTGGTAGGAGACCCCTGTCCCCCCATCACTGACTGCTCTTTGGCACAGGGGCCAAGGAACCAGCTGTCTCCACCCTCCATGCATCCCAGAATGAGACCCAGCCCTGCCTGAGCAAGGACCCCCAATTGTTAGCCATCTGCTCCAATCAAGAAAGAGAAAACAGCCCAAAAGATGCAAAGAAGAACCCAAATGGGGGCCCAGGTGGAGCTGGCTCTGCCTAATTCCTGCGCAGGCAGGAGGAACAGAGGCTGCAGGAGCCACTAAGAGTAGGATATGGATTTAAACCACAGGACAGTGAAAGACAAGCAGAATATACGCTCCTAAATCCTTTAAAAGCCTCAGCACAGCTCTTTCTCCTAGTACTGCACCATGAGATGGAGCTCAGTCAGGGAAGTCCCACCAAAAGCCACCACAGAAGGCAGAGGAGGGTCCTCGGCTGGCAATTGAGCTCTGCCTGATGCTAGTACTAATTAGCCCTTGCTAATGTGGAGACAGCAGGACCCCGGGGTGGGGAGGAGGCAGGCAGAAGTAGCTGTGTCTCAGGGAAGGCGGTCTGTTCTGGGTCATGAACCAGGCATCTCCACCAAGGAGCTGATCAGATACTCGTTTCCAGACTGTCTTCTCCATTGGTGAGCAGCAGGGCTCAGAGAGGAGCAAGGCACTGGTCTCTGCCTAGCTTACCTTCTTCTCTGTCAACCTGGTCCCACAGCATGGTGCCCCGTCCCCCCTCCCTCCCAGCTCTGCAGCGACACACGGGCGCCTTTCATCAGCCAGAGGACCAGAGCCCCACCTGGAGCTGGGCGAGGTGGAGGGTGCTGACAAGAGCCGCATTCATCAGGGCACTGGCTCAGGCTCAAACCAAACAGGACGTCGGCTCCGAAGCTGCAGGGAGGATGGGGCCTGTCTGGGCAGAGGCAACTGGGGTTAAATCTGTTTTCTCCAGCCCCAGCAGCATGGCTGGTCTGTGCACGGCTTAGCCAACCTTGTGCAAGAGCCCAGAGGGAGAGCAAAAGGCACTTCTCTGCTGCGTTTGGCTCCTTACTACTTGCAGGGCTCTTCACAGGGCTGGGAAGTATCTGGAGCCATCCCAAGGAAACCATGTGTGACAACCCTACAATGATCATGCCAGTGCAAACAACAGCATAGCTTGCTTGGGAGACAGAGCAACTACAGCTCACTTGTAAAAACAGAAAAAGACAAAAAACAACCCCAAGCCTGTGGCTGCTCACCACTGCTGGGTCAAATTGTCAGCCGGTAGCTCATTTTGATGGGGAGATAGAGAACAGCATAGCAAAGAGAGCAGGGACCATGATCCATGCTGGCCTCTGCTTCTCTCCCAGAGTGATCCTGAGTGAGCCAGGAAGGAGTTTTGAAGTAGATCTAGCAGCTAAATCACAGTGGCCAATAAACTAGATATGGAGCCTGAAACACTGCCTCCCCACAGAGCAATTCACATTACGGGGAAGAGCAGCAATGGTCCAGGCTCAGCCCAGTCACAGTTACCCTCCACATCTGCTTCACTTGGTCTGGAGGTTAAAATCCACCCACTAGTGAGCTCGTAGTGTCAGTCAAGTAGTGCTTTTGGCAGGGCTTTTCTATACCCTGGGCTCAAAGAAGTGGTTAACCCTTTAGATGTCAGTCTCCCAGCCAGAGATGCTGTTGTGTGGTTCTGCCAGCAGCTGAAAGATCAGGAAATCCACTTGCGCTCCAGTAGGAAAAAATATCATACGACGATTTCTGCAGAAATGCACGAGCCAAAAGCTTTGACACGTGCTCCGGGGAAGCTGTTGTCCCAGAGGAGAGTCCTTCCACACGCTGCAGGAAGGACCACAGCTAAGCCCCACGTCCTGCTTCAGGTCTTAGTCCTGGCACAGCTGTAGGTCTGACTCCAGAGGATTCCTCCAGCCTGCACAGGACCTAGTGATCCCAGGAGAACCTAGGGGCTGACACAGGACTGTCAGAATCTGCTCTTACCCACTAGCAAAAATAGCCAGGCATTCAGCTTTTTAACCTGATGCCGTCTCTATTCTCCACAAGGCAGGCATCAGGGACCTCTCTTGGCCAGAAGACAAAAAATAACTGGGAAAGGCTTGAGTATCACTAAGGCTTGTGTCACATGCTGCAAGGGAGAAAGTGGGGAGAAGATAAAGTCATCCCCCAGCCAGCTCCTTGGGTCAGGGAAGGCTGAGCTGCCAGCCACTGAGAAAGCCACATGCTCCTTAGCTCACGAGCCTGCTAGACACCCTGCCCAGCCCCAGCACACGTGAGAACTGGGGCAAGTGTTGGAGATGCTCCTATATAAGCAGGAATTGTTTAGACTGACTTCTCCCTGAAGGCTTTCTGTAGCAGCTCTGTTCTTGTTCTGCTCTCTGGAACACAACAAAGGAAGAAGGCAGCTCCAGCCAGAGATGACAGTGGTAGCAGAGGCTGGCACACCATCCACATGGTGTTGTTACATTGGCCTCCTGTCCAGTCTTCCCATTTATAAACTTGACACTTCAGCTTTCAGCAGAGCCAGGTCTTTGAGAGGTAGGCACAGAAGCTGCAAAAAAGGAAAGGTGGAGAAGTGGAGAAGACACCCCCAACACTGTTACCACTCCTGTCATCCTCACCCCAGAAGTATGGGAGGAGTACAAGCTTGAGGTTTCTCCCTCATAGGAGGGGTTCACAGTCACATTTCCTACAACAATTAGGGCCCTTGCATTTACCACTAGAATAACCAACTAGTGGGCAACAGGAAACAGGAGTTACTGACAAAAGTTGACCTGTCTGGAAGGGCAGGAACAGCAAGCCAACTCCTGCCTTGGTGCATACCCCAGGGAGATAAGGACAGCCTTCCACCAAGGCAGCCTTGTTTTAGACAGCACTAGTGCATGGAAACGAACATCTTGCATGTGAATTTAATGTAAGGGCTAGGGCTAAAGGATTGCTCTTGTTCCTCCTTTAGCTAATCCAATGTAACTGAGGGAAGATGTTTAGATACCCACTTGCATTTTAATCAATATTACCTTGTTGGCCCAATATATTCCCACATCAGACAATCTTCTCCTTGCTACAGAGGAAGGGAGTAAGAAAGCGTGGTGGCCATGCCTGTCAGGAGTGACAGCTGGACTGCACTACCCAATAACATTGCACACAGTCACTACATGTAGCACTGACTTCAATAAGTCCTTTATTTTTAAATAATGAAATCCCACTGAATCAAAGATAACAAAATTACATTGTTTTGCAGTGACCTCCATTTTATACCACGCAGAAGAACAAAAATTAAAGAAAAAAATCAAAGACACTGTTATATATATATTTATA